CAGGTCGCCAGGGGGGGGTCCGGGTCCCGAGTAATGGGCCTGTTTTCCACCACCAACACTGTAAGGTGGAGGCTTCTCTTCTTTCTTCCTCCTCCTCCTCCTCCTCCTCCTCCTCCTCCTCCTAGTCCTCCACCTCCTCCCCCGCTCCAACTTCTGGTGGGGGTGGTGGTAGTGGTGGTGGTGGTGGTAGTGGTGGTGGGAAAAGGCCCATCACCGAGGGGAAGCGGGTCCCGAGGTTTTTTCGCTGTTGTCGGGCTTCGGGGCCCTCCACGGGGCTTTGTGGCTGTCAGAGAAACCGACTCGGGATTCGGATCTCGTCCTGGGGGAAGGCCCTTTTCCCCCACGCTAGGTCGAGGCCTTCAAGAGGGGTCCGCGCAGGTGGGGTCGGAGGATCGCGCCGCGGGGAGGGGGGGGACTGAGTCGAGGAGGGTCTGGCCTGCGCTTCGGCTGTGGTCCAGTGGGGTGCCCGACAGTGTCGTGTTCGGCCTTTGTCCCGTGGTCAAGCGGATCGCTCGTCTTCTTCGAGGAGCGCCCCTGTGCGTCTGGGACTCTTCCGCACAGGATTTGTGCCATCTTGGTGCTCGAGCAGCATGCGGAGAGAGCCGAGGAGGCGAACACATGGACACAGGAGGCTTGGTTTAGCGACGGGTCCCGTCTCCACGCGAAATCTGCGCGCTCCGTCGCCAAACGAGGCGGCAGTGGCCTCAGGCTTCGGGGGGTACAGTCAACCCGCATAAGAAGGATTGGCAGCCTTCCCACGGGTACCCTTGCATCCTTGCCTCCTCGGTCCATCCTTCGCCACTTTCGTTGGCCGCGCCCCACTCGAAAAGCTTCGAAATGGGCGTCCAAGACCCTTGCATCCTTCTTCATCGCGCATCCTTATGATACGTGGCGGCTGTTTTGTACTTTCCACAATTGATCCAGCGCCAACTCGCAAGATCCACAGATGCCTAGTCCACGTGCGCGCGTGCCCGAGAGAAGCGGTGTCGCGGACACGGCCGCATGCGGCTGGCTTCGGCCCCGCCGCTGGGCGCTTTCCTGGATGCGTTGGCGCCTCCGGCGCCAGGACTCTAGGCCTACCAGATGGGATCCGCGCAGATGGGGTCGGCGGATCGCGCCGCATCGCCGACACGTCGGCGATGCGGCTCGATGTGCAGCCCGGTGTTCTCCACGCCGACGTCGCCGTCGCCGATGTCAATGTTGCTTTGCCGATACATCGCCGATCTATCGGCGACGCGGCGCGATCCTCCGACCCCATCTACTCTTAAGTCGGGCGTGTCCCCCTACAGGGGGATTTTCGAGGAAAAATAAAAGACACACCAAAAATAGTCAAAACATATTCCAAAAATAGCCTGGGGACTACCTTTTTTGTCATTCTTGTGGTACTTCCGGGTTATTTTTCATTTTTCGTCGAACATCCCTCTGTAGGGGGACACGCCCGACATAAATCTACTCCGACCACTTCCAGGAGGCCTCTAAGGAGGTGCAAGAGAAACCAGCTACTTGCGCTGGCTTTCCCACCCTCCCTCTGCTACCCCTTCCCTGTTCGCCCACCGCCCCGGGCATTGAGGAGAGGATGGGGTCGGATTTGCTGGCATTCACACGGGCGTGCTGAAAGTCGTGCCTCAAATTCGTTGCCACCGCTGTGTCCGCCGCTGTTGCCAGCGAACAAGCTGCCAGCAGCGCGACTATATATAAATATATACATATATTTATATATATATATGTGTGTATTACTTTAAATTGAATTATCACGCGATTTGCATCTTAAGCCCCTGCTTGTGGTCTCACGCCATTCTTGTTTGACCACGTGATTCGTTTATATTCGGACCTGGTTTGGAACTATCGTCCAGCTCTTGGCTATCTGGAAGTCGCACGCGAAACGCTGGATTATTTGTTGGTTTGGAGCGGCTCCTAACCTGACTGATGCCTTCCTCCCTACCCTCCCATCTTCTGATCCCGCTGGGTCTCAGTCTTTTCACGTCTTGCTGGAGGTATCTTGTGCGGGAAGCGCTGGCGACGCCCAAAAAGCAGCTCTGCGCAGCGCACCGCGGCGCCACGAATGGTCAGGCTCTGGCGTCTCTCCGGCTGCACGTGTGACGAGGAATGCTCACTCATTTCATGCTAGCCGCACTGCGTTGCTTGATGGTGGTGAGGGTGGGTGGGGGTGGGGGGGAGGGGCAAGAATGCAGGTCCGGGGCCATCCTGGGGCCCAGGATGGTGCACACGAGACCCTCCAGGCCTCGGCCCCAGGAGGCCTCATGTGCCATCCTGGGGCTCAGGATTCTGGACGACCGAAATGGGTACGGAAACGGGTACAATGCCCAACAGCAGCTCCTGCTCATCTTGAACAGGACTCGCTGTCCGCGCCGCCGCGGCCTGTCTCCATTTGAGACAGAAGGCCGCCTGCCCAACAGCGGCCGCTGTTGGTTTGGGACTACATTTGTTGTTGGGCATTGTACCCATCTTTTCCGTATCCATTTCGGGCGTCCAAAAGGATGGCCCGGCCCACGCACGGCAGTGGTGTACAGGTGCCTTCCACGTAAGCGTGATTGCTGAGGATGGCGTGCAGACCATCGCGGCCTCGGCCATGCGGGCGCACGAGGCTCCGGATGGCCCAGCCCAGGCACGGTTAGGGGGCCACATGCGAGACCCACCCCTACCCCCCACGATTTCTGAGGGGGAGGGTGGGGTTCACTTCGCTCGGGAGCTCCCGAACGAAGTGAAGCCCACCCTCCCCCTCAGAAATCGTGGGGGGTAGGGGTGGGTCTCGCATGTGGCCCCCTAACGGTGGTGGTGCAGCGGGGAGCTGAGCTGGCTGCACCTGTCGCGGCCGGCCTTTGGGCGCGAGAGCGGGTGGCGCGCGGGCGCCTGCAGGTGCACCGCTGGGACGCCGTGGAGCACGTGAGCGGGGGCCCCGACCTGCAGAACCCGCACTTCCCCCAGTTCTTCGAGACCTGCAAGCTGGCCCTCAGCCTAGCGTGCCCAGCAAGCCCCTCCCCCCCCCGCCCGCCCCCCTCCCCTCCTCCTCCCCGCTCTCTCCTTTCTTCTCTTCTCCCCTCTTTTGCTTCTCGAGGCTGCGGGATTGTGGAGACACTCTGTGTTCCAGAGGGGTATTTCACTCCATGTTCTTCTCTTACTCGTTATCCCTCTCTCTCTCTCGATTTGTTTCCTCATCTTCTCAGGTTGTGCTATTTGTCTGCCAGCTCCTTCGAAGTCGCTATTGCACTGCATTGCGCTGTGTTGCTTTGGGCCCCCGTTGCCGCCAGTCGCCGCCGCCCCGTTGCACCCCCCAGCTGCATGGCAAGTGCACTGCATTGCAAGTGCACTGCATTGCAATCGCATTGCGTCGTAATCGCACTGCGCTGCATCTGAATCCCATCGCATTTCAATCGCATCGCACTGCAATCGCATGGCGTCGCATTGCCAGCGCATCCCAATTGCATTTCTTTGCAGTGCTTTGCGTGGCAGTTCGTTTCCGTGGCGGGTCGTGTTCGTGCTGGGCATTTCCCCAAGCAGCGCATGCACTCGGGAGATCTCGCTGATGTCACCACGGAATTGGATGGCCGCCCCGTGCGTTGGGCGTGTCCGGTGAGGTTTCGCCAAGGTGCCGCTCGTGTCCGCCCCGTGGCCGCCTCGTGAGCTGGCGTTGCCCTGCGAGGTGTCGCCCCGTGGCCGCCCGTGGCCACCTCGTGAGCTGTGCGGGTCTGACGAGGCTTCGCCACGATGCCGCCTCGTGGCCGCATCGTGCGCTGGGTGTGTCTGGCGAGGGTTCGCCACGCTGCCGCCCGAGGCCGCCTCGTGGCCTGCCTGGTGAGCTAGCTGGGTGTGTTCCGCGACGTCCCGCCACGTGGCCGCCACGTGGCCGCTTCGTTGCCGCCTCGTGCGCCGGGTGTGGCCGGCGAGGTTTTGCCCCCTTGGCGCCCGTAATCAGCTGCCTCGTGGCCACTTCGTGCGCCGGGCGGGTCCGGCGAGGTTTCGCCGCGTTGCCGCCCGATGCCGCCGTGTGGCCGCCTCGTGCGCTGGGCGTGGTGTGGCGAGGCGCCGCCTCGTGGCCGCCTCGTGCGCTAGTGGGATCGGAGAGGTTGCCGCCTCGTGGCCGCACCGTGCGTACCTTGCACAGCTCACGCCACATATTGCACCACCTTCAGAAAGCGTGCACCACATGGCTCATACCACGTATTGCACCACATAGTCGACCCCGCACAGCCCTCATAGCATAGCTCCCACCACCATGGATAGCATCACATAGCTCACACCACATGGCACACCACGTGGAATGCACAGCGTCCCACCGCACAGCTCACACCGCATAGATCGCACCCATCGTGCACATCCACAGATCAACATCTCGCTGTTTGGGGTCCACGCTGGCAAACATGTATTTTAGACGCTTCTCGGGTACTTTCCGTCCAGGAAATCGACGCTGCGAGGGTAGACGGGGTCGGAGGAACTGGCGCGACGTGGATCACGATGTTCTCCAACCCTACGTCGCCCACGCAACGCCGATGCTTTGGCGAGGCGGTGCGATCCCCCAACCCAGTATACTCGGACTCCATCTGGGCGGCCTCCTTGGACTCGGCTCGAGGAACTTTGTCAGGATGGCGCCAGAGTGGATCTGGGAGCCCCGTTTGAGGCGGACTCTAGCCAGGAGTCTCCCGAGGCTCGCTGGGAGACCGACGTGTTCCTCCTCGGTACTCGGGGGATAAAGGGTCGATTGCGATGGGGAGGGGGTACGGCAATCTGATGCGTGCAGCTGAGTTCGGCCGCACCGCGAGGCGATCGATACATGACCGCCAGAGGCGCGGGGAGGCGCTAGGGCAACCGGCAACGTGAGCTGTCTCAGCGGCGCGCAGACAAAAGAGCGTACAAGTGCGTTCGAGGCGCGATGGTTATTTCGCGTCGCGCAGCCGTTGAGCGCTGGGCGTCCTTCGGCGCTCTCCCTCTGACCGTCTCAGTGCAAAGCCCTGGTCCGTTCGTCTCATGTGCACGCAAACGTGGGCCTGCGTTGTTAGGAGGAGAAGCGGATAAACGGGAAAGTGTGGTTCCGTAGCCAGTTTGGCTGAAGTCTAGCTCGAGCTATCAGTTCACTCCGCTTTGCTCGCCTCGCGCTGCTGGCGCAACCGCCTCGGCCGCCCTGGCAGGCCAAGCTCAGCACGGTCTCAAGCAGTTTGTCCACTGGCCTTGACGGGGCTGCGTCGGTGTCTTTGCGACATGGCGCGCATTCCGTCCAGTATGTCCCTGGAAGATCTGGACAGGCTTCTCCCCGAGCTTGTGGACAGCGGGCTGCCCGGTGGCGGCCAGTTTCTCGTGGCGGACCTGGAAGACGGCGAGCGGACGCCCAGGCTGGTCGTTTTGCTTGTGTGGCACGGCTACCTACCCATGGGAGGTCGCGGCATGCTCCTTCCGAAGATCCACCTGAATCGGTGTCTGCTCATCGGCCCAGGTTCCGTGCACGTGGGGCGGAAGGTGCGCCGACGTGCCAAAGGCTTCCGCATGACTCTTGACCAGGCTTGGCCCGTGGTCGTCAAGAGCATCCAGGAGCACACCTTCACCAGACAGCAGGGGGACTGCTGGCTGTCGGACGCGCTGGCAGCAGCCTACCAGGCCGCGAACCGAGTCGGCAAAGAGTGGCGCCGCGAGGGCGTGGCCTTCCATTCAGTAGAGCTGTGGCATGCGGCTTCAGGAGAGCTGGTCGCAGGAGAAATCTCGAAGAAGAGAACTCGGCATAGACATAAACTTTCGGCGCTCCGCGCAGATTTCTTGGATCTGCGCTGGGCCCCCCTGCCGGCGCCTCCGGCGCCACCCCTGGCGCGCTCCGCGCGCCAGGGAGGGAGGTCCAGTACTGATCCAAGAAATCCGCGCGGAGCGCCAACGGTTTATGTGTATGCCGTTTTTTCCTTCTTCTAAGATCGGATACACGTGCGGAGCCGTCTACAGTCGCAGGCCTAGAGGTTGACACCAACACCAAGATCGGCGGCGTGCCTCCACCGAGGGGAGACGATCCCGATCTCGGTGATGGTGCTAATATTCTGGCTGCCAAGGTGACCGAAATATTACCACCAGCACCGAAATCTAGGATCATCTTCCCCCTGTGGAGACAGCCCCTTGTGTTGGTGTTGGTGCCAATTTCTAGGCCTCCAATACAGCAGCTGCACTGGCTTCGCTTTGAAGGAGCGCTTCCCTGGCTCCGGCTCCGTGCAGCTGGCGTCGCTGGGGCGGTGGCTGGAGCGCTGCGGCTTCGAGATCTGGGACCTGGGCATGGAAATGTCGGAGGCCTGGAAGTTGGCACCAACACCAAGACAGGGGGGTGCCGCCACAGGGGGAAGGTGATCCTAGATTTTCGGTGTTGGTGGTAATAGTTCGGCCACCTTGAAGCCAGAATATTACCACCATCACCGAGATCGGGATCTTCTTCCCTCGGTGGAGGCGGACCGCCGAAATTGGTGTTGGTGTCAATCTCTGGGCCTGCGAAAATGGACTACAAGCTCGAGCTTGGGGGCAAGTCCGTGCCGCGGGGCGAGTGGGCGAGACACATCCGGAGGCTGCGGGACACTGTGGTGTCCCTGCGGCAACCACTGGGGGAGGAAGGGGAGGCTGACCAGCTGCTGGCCAGCGACCCTGCGAGTGCTGCCGCGAGGGACGCCCCGCCATCGCTGATGGAGACGGAGGAGTCCAGCGCCAGGCCAAGTGTCAGCCGCTCGTCGCCGGCTCGCCTCGAAGGCACCAAAGCTGCCCCGGCGTGCTGTGCCAGCTGATCGGGGCTGCTGACGAGTGGCCACCACACCGAAGTCCGCCTCCCCGGCAGTGACTCTCTCCTGGCCCGTGCGCTCCAGCTTCTCGCAGCACCGCGCCCGGGCCCGGACGTTCGACTCTTGCTCGAGCGCTTGCTGCCGCACTCCGGTTTCCTCTCCGACGGCCGTCAGTCGTGCACGGTTCTGCTGTGGCGTCTCAGGGCTTCCGGTGAGCGGGCTGGGTGGCTCTTCCTCCTCCTGCTCCTCGTCCTGCCCCAGTCGCAGATTCCTCTCCCTGATCCCTGTCCTCCTTCCCTCCCCTCCTCCTTCCCGTCTGCTCTGCTTGCAGGGGGACCCTGAGACAGCAGACTCGACTGAAGACGTGATGACCGTCTCCTCGTTCTGCGCGCGTTCTGTGTAGATCATTGCGACGCGGGTGCGCCAGGAGCGGCTATTGCGCACGGCGTCCCCGCAGAGGGGATGAAGGGACACGGCGACCCGGGAGCAAAAAGCAAGCCTCCTCCAATCTCCCCCGCTTTGTCCTCGTGCGTGGGGCTGGGGGGAAATCCTTTCGGAGCGGTTTGGATGTCAGAGAGAGTCGCGCGGTGCCTCGCTCCGCGCTGCCGTCTTTGTGGAAGTAGTATGTCGGGCATGTTCCTCTACAGAAGGGATGCTCAAGAATTGTAAAAGCATGGGTCAGTGCCGATGTTCTTGTTTGTGTTAAACTATTCTTGTGTTGTCCAAATTTCCGCCTACAGGAGGACATGCCCGACCCAATGGAAGTAGAGAGCACTGCGCATCACGCCAGGCGACCTGCCGCCACCTGCTCGTCGCCCGCCTGCGCCGTGGCCTCTCCGGGGCCTCCCGCCCGCGGGCAGCTTCGCGCCAGGGTTCTGGTCTCCAGAGCTGACCCGCAGCCGAAGGAGCGGTGCCCAGCCCTGCGGCCGCCAGTCCACGGGCGCAGGCGAAAGCCTCGACCTTTCGACGGAAATTGGAGCGGCTGAGAAAAGGAGGGAAAGCCTGGGATTGGGTCTGGCAATTATACTACATGAGGTCCATCGAGAAAACCAGCCAAAATCTGAGGAAAATCTTCAGCAGGAAACTCAACCTCTCCCCAAGCTTCCCAAACATCTCTAAGCCAAAACCAGTGGAAATCTCAAACTCTAAAACAACTTCAACAACATGTTTAAGCTAAAACCTGCGAGAATATCAAACCCTGGAATAACTCAAACAACTATGATCCAACACCTGCGAACATCTCAAACTCTCAGACAACTCCCAAAACATCTCTAAGCCCAAATTTGCGAACATTTCAAACGTTAAGCCGGAGTTTGCATTTATAATTTTTTATGGCATGTTTTCCAGATGATTTTTGAGTTCGCCGGGCGGTCAGAAATGTGTGTGGATTTAAACGTTGTCCCAGATATTGGTTTGCCTTTTGTGTCCGAGAATTGTTTTAGTGCTGTTGTGTTTGCGTTTTTAGTCGTTTCGAGTTTTTTCCGAGTTGTGTAGAGTCGTTTTAGAGTTGTTTTAGAGTTTGTTTGTGGCGTTTCGAGTTGTTTGTGTTGTTTCGCTTGGAGTGTTAGGGTTGGTTTCAAGTGTTTTCAGAGTTCCGGTTTTCTGTTCTTTTAGGTTTGAGATTTAGCCATGTTTCGGCTTAGGTTTTTTGTAAAGCAAGTTTTTGAGAGTTTGAGTTTGTCGCAGGGTTTGCTTTAGAGATTTGTTGAAGTGTTTAAGAATGATATTTTCGCAGGTTTTGGCATAGATATGTTGTACAAATTGTTTTCGAGTTTGAGATTTTCGCAGGTTTCGATTTCGAGATGTTTTGAAGTTGATTTAGAGTTTGAGGTTTCTTCAGGTTTTGGTTTAGAGGTTTGTTGACATTTGTCTTAAATTTGAGTTTCTTCGCCCGATATGGCGGTGGACCGCCTGTAGTCGCTATTGCCGAACCTGAACCTGGGATACACCCCCGGGGGGGGCTATTCGGACGCACCCCTATCGAGGATGGGCGCCCCCCCCCTCGCATATCCCAGGGTTGGGCCCACAAAAATGTTGGTCCATTCGCAACACTCCCGCAGCTTGTGATAGGGGTCGACATGTCCGCTGGTACACGCAGTCGAGGGGCTCACCTTGGAGCCAGCTGAGTGTCTAATGTGGCCCAGCACTGGCTCCAGCCAGCGGAGGGGATGGGAAGTGGGGGCTCAGTGCGTCCTTTTCTGACCTCCTGGGGGCTTCTCGCCACTGTAATACACAGTGGCTGCGTTCCGGCGAGGGCGCATTCAGCGCGGAATAGTCTTCGCATGATCTTTCCATGGCCTGTGTAAGTTGTCCTGTTCTGCCGATGCGCCGTCTAGGCGCGGCCTTCTCCTGTCCTGTCCTGGGGGCTTCTCGTCGCCACGGCTGGACGCGTCTCGAAACAGTCGTGCGTTTTTGGACCCCTGGAGGGGTCCGGGAGCCGAGTTCGAGCGGAGTCGGCCTTGTTACAGTCGGGGCCCTGAAGAAGGAACCCTTTTGGTTGGGGAGGGGCTCCGCGTTCCTGAAGTGTTTCACAGCTTGCCTCAGGTGTTCCTCATGTCTTCGATCGGAAGTCGAAGTTTGACTTGTGGGAAAAAGGGGCCTCGTTCCTTATTTAGGGCTCCTTAGGTCAACGCCCCGGCTGTACCATTCTTCTCAGGGCCAAGTTCCGCCGAGACCCCGCGGTTCGCCTCCAGAGCTCGCCCCCCCCCCCCTCCCTCCCTCCGCCTGCTGGCCGACGACGACGTCTCCACGCGCCCACTGCTCCCCTGCCGGGCGCCTCCCAAACTCGGGAGCTGTGTACTCCAGATCTCATAAGAGAGGGAGGGGGGTCTCATTTGGGGGGGGGGTCTCTTCCAGGCTATCTTGGAGGGCCGGGTGGGTCTGGGGACGATGTTCTGGAGGGTTCTCCCACGGTGGAGGTCTGAAATGGCTTGTCTTGGAGGGTCCAGACCCCCTCCCTTTTACTACGAAATCTGGAGTATGCGCCTCCTCGGCAGGGCCGCGAGGGCGGGTTCGGGATGGCCCCGGCCAGGGAGCAGTGGAGATGTCTGGATTTCGCCGCCCTGCACTGGCCGGGAGCGCACGTCTGCGACTGATGGCCGGTCCTATCCCTGCGGGTCAACTCGACGCCAGGGCATCGGACACCCCCGC